AATATATTTTTGTGCTGCGACAAAAACTAATATTATAAATGTGAAAGTAACTCTGTCTGTCTGTCTCGCTTTCACGCCAAAACTACTAAACCGATTTGAATGAAATTTGGTATACAGATAGTCTAGACCCTGAGAACGGACATAGGCTACTTTTTAATGCGAAAAAAGGGTTGTAAGGGGTTAAAAGGGGGGATGAAAGATTGTATGGAAGAATCGTCATTTTTGAAGCTAGAAGCTTGAAACTTATTTTTGAGACTGTTGATTAAATATAAATAAAAATGACATTCAATGTTTGTAAAAAATTACCCTTAAGGGGGTAAAATAAAATAGGGGATGCAAGTTTTTATGTAAATTCGTCATTTTTGAAGCTAGAAGCTTAAACTTATTGTTGAGACTGTTGATTAAATATAAATACATATGACATTCATTGTTTGTAAAAAAATTACCCTTAAGGGGTAAAATAAAATAGGGGATGCAAGTTTTTATGTAAACACGTCATTTTTGAAGCTAGAAGCTTGAATCTTATTGTTGAGACTGTTGATTAAATATAAATACATTGACATTCATTGTTTGTAAAAAAAATACCCTTAAGGGGGTAAAATAAAATAGGGGATGCAAGTTTTTATGTAAAATCGTCATTTTAGAAGCTAGAAGCTTGAAACTTAATTTTGAGGCTGTTGATTAAATATAAATACATATGACATTCATTGTTTGTAAAAAAATTACCCTCAAGGGGGTAAAATAAAATAGGGGATGCAAGTTTTTATGTAAACACGTCATTTTTGAAGCTAGAAACTTGAATCTTATTGTTGAGACTGTTGATTAAATATAAATACTTGTGACATTCATTGTTTGTAAAAACAAATACCCTTAAGGGGGTAAAATAAAATAGGAGATGCAAGTTTTTATGTAAAATCGTCATTTTTGAAGCTAGAAGCTTGAAACTTATTTTTGAGGCTGTTGATTAAATATAAATAAATATGACATTCATTGTTTGTAATTAACTTACCCTTAAGGGGGTAAAATAAAGTAGGGGATGATAGTTATTATGTAAATTCGTAATTTTTGAAACTAGAACGATGAAACTATTTTCATTGGTTCTTTTGGGGTAGATTTTTAAAAACCCCACTAATGTTATAACTGTGAAAGTAAGTCTGTTTGTCTTTCTGTCAGTCTTACGCTCCAAAACAAAATAAAAATTTAAATGAAATTTGGTACACAGTTAGTTTACACCCGGACAAAGAATATAGGGTACTTTTGAATGTGAAAAAAGGATTGTAAGGGGGTTGCAATGGTAGGCTGTATGGAAGAATCGTCATTTTTTAAAACTAGAAGTTTGAGACTCATTTTTAGGCTGTTGTTTAAATATCAATAAATATGATATTCAATGTTTGTAAAATGTTTACTCTTAGGGGGAGGGGGGGTAGTAAAATAAAATAGAGAATGAAAGTTATTGTGGAAATTTGCTGTTTGTGTGGTTGTGGAAGCTAGAACGATTAAACTTTTTTCTTTGTCTTTTTAGGGTTAGTTTATTAAATACCTTACTGATATTATAAATGTGAAAGTAACTTTATCTGTTTGTCTCGCTTACACGCCAAAAATACTGAACCGATTTAAATTGAAATTTGAAACAGACATAGATAGACTAGATCCTGTGAAAGGACATAGGTTACTTTTTAATGTGAAAAAGGGTTGCAAGAGGATTAAAAGGGTAGATCCAAGGTTATATAGATGTATCGTCATATTTAAAGCTAGAAGTTTGAAATTTATTTTTTAGCCTATTGATTAAATATTTATTTTTACTTTTTATCATTTTTGAAGCTAAAACGATGAAACTTATTTATTTGACTTATATTGTGTTAATTGAGTTAAATATTTTTTCATTATTTACGCGGACGAAGTCGCGGGTACAGCTAGTATATATATAACTCAAAGGTGACTGACGTAGTGAGCTATCAACGCTCAGCCCAAACCACTGGACGGATCGGGCTGAAATTTGGCATGCAGGTAGATGTTATGATGTAGGCATCCGCTAAGAAAGAATTTTGATTAATTCTACCCCCAAGGAGATAAAATAGGGGATGAAAGTTTGTATGAAACTTTGTCAATTTCAAACCGATCGGGCTGAGACTTTGCATGCATAAAGCTACTATGACGTAGGCATCCCCTAAGAAAGGATTTTGATGAATTCCGCCTCTAAGAGGATAAATTAACGCTAGCGAAGCCGCGGCAAAAGGTAGTCTAAATATAAATTACATATTTAATGAATAAATCAGTTGTGGTTAGTTTCATATTTGTTAATTTATTAAAGTGAGTTATGTTTGGTGTTTTGGTACTATCATGAGTTACGTTAGAGCCGTTCGTGCCTCACATACACACTCATACATTTATATGATTTACAGGAACATGTCACGAATACACAATATGGGCCTTAATGTGAATATTAAATACGAAGCAGTCCAGTAGGAATATAATAAACAAATGTTATAATATAACATTTAGAAAAGAGCATAACAAACTTGGTGTTTTTTTTTTATAGAATTCAGTGTTGTTTTCCGGAAGTTCATTTCATTAGAGATGTGTCTATGGGAGATAGTATCTGAATTTATAACTTTCTCTCTTCTCTGTGTTCTCTTTTTTTCTCCATTTATCTCTCTTTAGTTCTGTGACTGTCAGACTATTTGGTATATATTTAAGTTTATTGCATATACAGTGGACCCGCGGTAATCCGGCCCCTGTCTAATCCGGCCCCCCTTGTAATCCGACATTGTCTATTATTTGTTATTGAATATTACTTTGACAATATACTTCAGAGTGCATATACATACATACATATATAACATAGAATCTTATCACTGGATCTGTAATTTGTCGGATTACAAGATACTCTTTTGTAAAAAATTCCGGACTATAAGCAGGGGACCCTTAAGCAGCACTCTATAATCCGACAAATACGATGGTCCGACACTGCCCTGCAAAACGTCTGTCTGTTTGTTCCGGCTAATCTCTGAAATGGCTGGACCGATTTTGACGGGACTTTTTTTGCCAGGCAGCTAATGTAATAAGGAGTAACTTCTCTTTCTCTTCTCTTCTCTCTTTCAGCATATATTTGTCCACTGCTGGACGTAATGCTTGCATAATTCTCCACTTCAGTCTGTCTGTGGAGTGTCTCGTCCAGGAGTAACTTAGGCTACTTTTTATTTTAGAAAAATAAAGTTAAATTCCACGAGGTTGAAGTCGCGGGAACAGCTAGTCTATATCTATACATATAAATTAAAATGAAATAATACAATAAACAATATTTATTGTACTTCAAATCTCTGAAACGGCTGGACAGATTTCGACGGACTTTCACTCGCAGATAGTAATTATAAAAAGTCACTTACGCTACTTATATTTTACAAAAAATAAAAAATATTTCTAGCGAACGAATCTCTAAATCGGCTGGACAGATTTGGACGGACTTTCACTCGCAGATAGTAACTATAATGAGTTAGTTACGTGACTTGTATTATACAAAAATAAATGAAATCACTGATTGTTATCAGTGACTTCGTTCACATGAAATATTAATTAAACAAGTTTTTCGTATACTAGCTGTTGCTAGTATACGAAAAACTTGTTGTTTCTCTGTACATTACTTTTTCAGGGCTATGAATACGGAAACGAACGTTAATGAAAGACGTGAAAATGGTTTATATCACGAGGATGAACTTGAAATTTTTGTATCTCTATAAATAATCTACATAGTTTAAAATTTGGTATAACGTAAACAACAGTCGCTAATAGTTGAGTAATCTAAATATATATAACTCAAACGTGACTGACGTAGTGATCTATGAACGCACAGCCCAAACCACTGGACGGATCGGGCTGAAATTTGGCATGCAGGTAGATGTTATGACGTAGGCATCCGTTAAGAAAGGATTTTGATTAATTCTACCCCCAAGGGGATGAAATAGGGGTTGAAAGTTTGTATGAAACTTTGTCAATTTTAAACCGATCGGGCTGAGACTTTGCATGCATAAAGCTACTATGACGTATACATCCCCTAAGAAAGGATTTTGATAAATTCCACCCCTAAGGGGATAAATTAACGCGAGAGAAGCCGCGGGCAAAAGCTAGTATAATATAAAAAGATTACGAAAAAGAATCATCATTAACTGGGTTTTCTTATTTTGTGTCATATTGTAAATGGTATTATTTGCGTTATGTTGGCAATAAATCAATTATATATGTTATATATCTATCTAATGAAATTTCAAAGGAATATAGCTTATACATCAGAATAACATATAGACTATATTCATGCAGCTGAAATCGCATGTACAGCTAGTATGTAATACGTTAATAAAATGTTACAGATTTTTTTTCCTCATCAATTGAACGTTTTGAATGGTTTATTTAATATTCACGATTGTGAGTCATGCAACTTGGTAACTGCAGCTCTCAAATATCTCATACAAACTCATACATTTATAGATTGTATTATATTTGAAATTAGAATTGTTACTTGTACCAATATTATTTTATCTGTATAAATTTTCTTTTTATTAAAAACAATAAAAAATTATTAATGTAATACTTGATCGATATAAAAAATAATTGCAGCAATGGAAAGATAAATTATGCACGAGTATCTGAACTGTATATTGACTGTGTATTATTGACTGTGTATATTGTACATCATTTGTTTTTTTAAAGAATACGAGCTGAGTTTCTTGTCAGTTCTTCTCATCTCGAAATCATTCCGAACTGACGGTAGATTTGACATATCATAAGAGTCTGTAATAGACCTACATGAATAAAGATATTTTGAATTTGAAAAATTTGAAAAATGATTTACAGATTTCAGATTTTGTTTGTTTGCCATATAAAACGGGTTACATTTGGCTCGTCAGTTTCAAAATTATGATTCAATAGTAAACATTAATATAAATTTAAACTTGATTTTGACAGAAATGATAATGCTATATAAAAAAAATCAAAAATTTCATTACCTTATGGGGATCGTGGTGGTAAACTATCCTGGATGATCCGCCATAAGCGACGCGCCATCATCAAACACCAGGCCGTGTCACCGACGCCCATTATTCACGACTCCGACCTCTGTACGAGCACACCTCATTACAACCCACACCTTATTACACTGACTGTACGCGACATTTGTTTACAAAATACTGTTAGGGCGGGCGGGCGCCACGCACACGCAGTGTTGCCAGCACAATTTGAGAAAGCCCACTGTAAGCGACGCGTTCCGTAAATTTTTAGTAAAAATGTCTCCTTCTTCTATTTTTCTTATTAATATGTTTTACGGCTCTGGATACAAGTACTTTTTAGCCCAACTTAAAGGTTTACAATATAAATTTTTATTTTTATTTTTTTATTTTACTTAATATTTTACGGCTCTGGATACAAGTCCTTTTTAGCCCAACATAAAATACAAAATCTTAAAAAAAAATTATAATTTCTTCCCAGTGTTGGAAATAAATTTATATAAAGTCTTGAATAGTGCAGGCCTTGATAAGATCTCTTCTAGAGACTTCGGTACTTCATTAATATGCTCTTGAATCTCGTGAATGAGTAATATACAATATAAATGCAAATGCAGTGTTGCCAGCACAATTTGAGGTCCGTAAATTTCTAGTAGTCTCCGTGTTCTATTTCTGCTTCCAAGTGCCTTCCCAGCTCCTGCAACAGATATACTAAGTGTGCAACTTATATATTAACTTAAATTATATAATAAAGTAAATAAAATGTAAATATGGCCATTCAAAGAGACAACGCTGCCAGTAACTGGGGTACGCAGCCTCGATGTGTGCGTTGGATTATTATGTTTTTTTCTAAATGTTTATATGTTGCTATTCCCGCGACTTCGTCCGCGTGGAATTTAACTTTATTTTTATAAATTTTTCTAAAATTAAAGTAGCCTAAGTTAGTCCTTATTACTTCAGCTACTCTAACTCTAATCTTTTTAACCGCTGTAATATACTTTCTAGATATTTTTACAATTTTCTCTTCTTATATACGAACGCTATTTACTGCTTACAGAATGTGTGACGTTCTACTATCCCACTTAAAAAAAACACTAGCCATCTAAAACAAATACTCGTTAAATTTACCAATCTCAGTGGTAATAGCAATATGCTGGCAACACTCACGTGATGTCTGCCGACGCTGGTTCGGGGTCGACGGCCGAGATGTTACCGCCCGTTGTCATGGTTACCTTGGACATTTGCAAAGAATATGCAACCAGACCTACCTGTAGGTGAAAATACACTGAATTATTCTATAACATGCCATGTACATGTTAACAGGTATAGTTGTAAAAAAACACCCATATTTATATGAAAAAAATAAACGATAATAGCAAATTTACACAAAGAGACCCTACTAAATTAAAAATGGCACCGTGTAGAACTAACTTGCATAACTAACTCACACTTCAGCTCCATACAAATATATAATAAAATATCACATGTAATTCGAGAGATGCCGTTAAATAGATTTAAAAAAGAATTACACCAATGGCTCGTTAAAAAATGATGTTACTCTTTGCGGGAATTGACCTGACATCTGTATTATATTATTAGTTATAATGTATCCATTTAGTGACATCGGATATTATTATTTATAATGTAATTTAATTGTAAAAGTAATTGTTATGAATTGTAATTTGCTGGCGAACTTAATGTGAGGCGAACATTTGTACTATTGTTGTAAATGTTGAAGCAAATAAATTATCTATCTAACGAACAGGGGCGGACTACAAGTCGCTCGCGACTGTTAGTCCAGTAGATCGTGGCAAGGCAATAAATATAATAGTAATAATAATAATAATTCTCATCTCCCTTAAGAGTGGAGATGAGAATTTTTGTTAAGTATAAAAAATAATAATATCTATAATTCACACAGCGCCATCTAGTCCCAAGCTAAGCAGAGCTTGTGTTATGGGTACTAAACAACTGATATAAATACATGGATACATTTTTTTTGTAAATAAATACATATTATACATAGAAAACACCCAGACCGATACAAGCAATCATACTCATGAATACAAATGTTTGTACCGCGCGAGAAATCGAACCCACGACCATCGGATAGTAAAGCGGTGTGCTAAACCATTAGACAACCGAGGCTGTCATAAATACGTAGACCAGACTGCGCAACGTAATCGTGAAAAAAGTTGGCAATTTACAACTACCAACCTGATTATGATAAACTAGTGGATGCTCACGCAATACTCACACTAGTATAAAGGTAATTGAGTACCTAGTTACTATGCCCCTCCGATCGATCCCCCGTCCAATTCAAACGGGGATCGATGTTACGATGGTCTGAGCCGAGGTTCGAACCCCTAGTGGTGCCCTCAGACCAAAGTCGTATCCGTCAGGCGGGACGAAAAAAAAAAAACTAGTTACTATGAATAATTTTCACATTTATGTTTCCTCTCTTAATTGTTTTTTTCGGACAACTCTAATGCTGTTGGCCGCAGCTGGCCTTTACAGCTTCACCGAACGTTAGGGTCCTTCCGCGGGTTTGCAGATGACATTCCAGACCCGCGGAAGGACTTATGGAGCGGCTGAAGGCCAACTCCCGCCCGACGGATACGACTTTAGTCTGTGGCACCGCTAGGGGTTCGAACCTCGGCTCAGGCCGTTGTAATATCGATCCCCATTTTAATTGGACGGGAGATCGATCGGAGGGGACTTTCTTAATAAAATAAAAAAATACTACATGATTGTATACTGAACTGTGCTGTTTCATTTAAGATTTCAATAAGTATGTAATTGGTAGATCGCTCAGGGTTTCAATAGGAAACAGGAGATCTTGGGTCTAAGGAACAGGACATTGTCGAATATAATCTGACATTGAGGGTGACGCAGCTGGAGTCGAGCCACAACGCGAGTTTCAAGGAGTTCGTGGCCCGGGTTTTTTTAAAATTGACAAAGTTTCATACCAACATTCATCCCCTATTTTAACCCCATGGGGGTAGAATTAATCAAAATCATTTCTTAGCGGATGCCTACGTCATAACATCTACCTGCATGCCAAATTTCAGCCCGATCCGTCCAGTGGTTTGGGCTGCTAGTGGTTTGGTTTGGTGTGCGTTGATAGATCACTACGTCAGTCACCTTTGACTTATATAATAATAATAATAATCTCAGGACAATTCTCACAGCGCCATCTAGACCCAAGTTAAGCTAGCTAAAGCTTGTAATGTGGGTACTAGACAATACAAATACATAGATAATTTTTTTTCGTAAATACATATATATTATACATAGAGTGCCGTCGAACCCACGACCATCGGACATAAAGCGGTGTGCTAGACCGCTAGACCACCGAGGTCGTCACCAGACCGCTTATTGATAAAAACTAAGCCTTTGATTCATGTATGTCAGTCGATTGAATTTCCTCAACATAATCACTTCCTTATCAAAATATACCTACCAAATATTAGTGTAATGTTTATAAACATAGACTGTTATATTTTATCGCAACTCATAAAAAGTAATCTATAGCTAAATTAATTGTACTATATAGAAATATCATCGACGATTATGTCTGGTTTTATTAGACACATTGATTTTAAAGGATAAAGTGTAATCCATCACATTTAAAATAAGTAATAATGCTAAATAACAATTGATATGTATCGCGCAACTGAATCGATCGACCTCGATCGATCAAACCTTCAATAAAAGAGCTTATTCCTTTTTAAAAGGCCGACAACGTACTTGCAATTCTCCTGGTGTTGCGGGTGCTCATGGGTGGCGGTATTCACTTACCATCAGGTGAGCCGCATGCTCGTTTGTCCCCTGTGTTATATAAAAAAAATCGAGAAACAATTATATTTGCTGCTGTATATAATGTACTGAATATATCCATCAGATTTTAAGGCAAATATAGACATAGATAGGCAATGACAGATATTGAGTCTGTACTCGGGATACTGTAGGTAGTGTTCAACCGATTAGTAGTGAGAAGATAGCAAACAGATATCATGATCATCATCATCGCAGCCCGGAAGACGTCCACTGCTGAATATAGGCCTCCCCAAAGATCTCCACGACGATCGGTCCTGCGCTGCTCGCATCAGCAAACAGATATATAGACACGTTTTCGCATATATAATATTAGTTTGGGGAAAAGACAACCAGACCAATCCAATATGTACTAAAATTATATATAATACCAGCTGTTCACTCGACTTCGTCCGCGTGGAATTTAACTACTAAACTTTATTTTTCTAAAATAAAAGTAGCCTAAGTTACTCCTTATTACATCAGCTACCTTCCAAAAGAAGTCCCGTCAAAATCGGTCCAGCCATACCAGAGATTATCCGGAACAAAAAGACAGACAGACAAAAATTGTAAAAAATGTTATTTTAGTGTATGTACATTCATCATTTGCATGTAGTAAAAAACGGTTATTTCAATATTACAAACAGACACTACAATTTTATTTATATGTATAGATTGTACGGAAACCGAACCCGTGTTTATGGGAACATAAAGCAATGCACCATTAAGCGACTGAGTTAATGTACCTGAATATTTCAGGAAGTGACAATTATTACGAGTAGACATTACATTAACATTCTCAGACAATGTCTCTGAGAGGACTCTTAGTCGTAGGCAAATAAAAGCCGTGATATTTGTGCCTTCACTAACGAGGCACCTGTCAAAGTATAAATAAAGTAAACGCTAAAGAAACAGATAACGCAGTCGGTCAAGGTTGAGTGCATTGACCGAATAAACTTGTATATTGAACTAACGTTAATAATATACTGTAATCTGATATGGCATACCAAAATATTATTGATGGTTTTTTAATCTTTACTGCTTACTTAATATTATAAATGCGAAAATAACTCTGTCTGTCTGTCTGTGTCGCTTTCACGCGAAAACTGCTGAACCGATTTAAATGAAATTTAGTACAGAGATAGTCTAGACCCTGAGAAAGGACATGGTACATTGCTAGCAATAGGATCTTCAGTCCACATTACTAACAATCCCCTTTCCCCCCAGGAGAAGGGAATGGTTAGTAATGTGGACTCATAACCCCATTTCTAGCAATGTACTATGTCAGGTTAACCTCCACGCGGTTCCCCTGGAAACCATCAAATTCAAATTCAAAATATCTTTA